ATACGAGCTCGTCTTCATACTGCATGGTAGACCATCTGAGGGTGTCCGTAAGAAAGCGATGCAAGAAAGCGATGCATTGTCCGTAAGAAAGCGATAAACCCTAAACCCTAAAGCCGACTGCTTCGAGCTTAGTTGCTGCGCCTTCGAGATAGAAGGGCAGCTCCTTCATCATGCATCGAGCATCCTCCGTGGAGCCGAGGAGGATGCATAGCTTGCCAGGACCCGTTCCAGGACTTGGTGTTCAAATCCTCCTCCATGTCGATGCCTTCAACTTTGATCTCGAGCCTGTTAGCGATCTCCAACAAGACTCTCTTGACTCTTGCGATGGACGTGTTGCCGCCGTTGCACAGCCCCTCCATCTCCTTCCTCGTGAAGCGACCAGATGCCGCCGTCGGCGACTTGATGATGATCTTGATCTCCTTGCCGTCCTTGCCGCCTGCCTTCTTCTGCAGTCTTGATGCCTTCTTCAACTTATTTCTGGACACAAAGCGATCAGCTGTCAACTCGACTGCGAGCGCCTCTCTGATCTTCGGGTCCTCGCTGAACAGAGTCAGGTGTCATACTCCCTCCATCGCTTCGCTCTCTCGGAAAGCTCGAAATGCTGTATCATTCGCCTCTGGGCAGCTCGAGGAGACGATCCACTCCACCTCCCTCTGTCTCCAGATGACGTTGGCCCCTACAGCGATGAAGCCTTTCTGACCTAAGCCTTTGTGGACTTGCTGGCCTGGCGCCCCAGCGACCAGCATGCCTGCCAGCGGCTGGAGTTGGACCGCTGCAAGGGACTGGCGCAGCAGCTGATAGCGATAGACGGCAGCTATCTCTGCTGTTGTCATGCCGCCCAAGGTTAGCAGGTGGGTCAGCTCTGCCAAGCTGCCCCCTTTGCCCCAGGGTCCTCTCTTGGCTCGAATCTGGAAAGATCGATCGTGCACGATGCTCACTGTGACATGTACAGCTGTGAACTTGCGACCATCGACCGCGAAGTCCTCTCTTCCCTGCCAGAGCTTCTCCGCTTGGCATTGCGGAGGAAGGAAACAGTCACCGGGATCTCCTCAGCACTCGCTATCGAGTCTCGGGTCTATACGGAGCCTTCCACATGATTGCTTTACTCTCTTGCACTGAGTCTACGATCAGTCCGATCTCTTCGAATTTCTTCATCAGCTTCTCTTCACTGATGGTTGACATACACCGAGGAGATGCCCAGGAGAGTCATGGAGATGAAGGAAGTCACCTCGTTGCCTGCTGAGGCGGTGTATGTCTCGACCTTCTCCTTCTTGGCTTCTTCAATCTGCTGCATAAACCACTCTCTGGATGCGTCACTCCATCCAGTCATTGCTTCTTGCAGAAGCTCACGTCGTGCCTGCTGACATGTCGAGCGGATGGCTTCTGCGATAGCGTCGGGGGTGCATCCCTCCACAGCCTTGCAAGCCTGGGCTGTCCTGCTGTTCGGATAACGCTTCGCGAAGCTCTTCACCCTCTCGACGAGATCAGCGCAAGTTCGAGGACAGAGGCATCCACAAGTCCACACTTTCATCATACTGGAGAACCATACTTAGAAAGCTATTTGAAGTATACAAACCTCTCGCTTGCAGCTTCCTTGGCGCCCTGGCGGCTTCCCCTACACCTGACAAGGAGCCATGCTGCCGAAAATAACGGCGCCTGCCGAAAATAACGGCGCCTGCCGAAAATAACAACGCCTGCCGAAAATAACGGCGCCTGCCGAAAACAACGGCGCCTGCCGAAAATAACGGCGCCTGCCGAAAATAACGGCGCCTGCCGAAAATAACGGCGCCTGCCGAAAATAACGGCGCCTGCCGAAAATAACGGCGCCTACTGCCGAAAATAACGGCGCCTGCCGAAAATAACGGCGCCTGCCGAAAATAACGGCACCTGCCGAAAATAACGGCGCCTGCCGAAAACAACGGCGCCTGCCGAAAATAACGGCGCCTGCCGAAAATAACGGCGCCTGCCGAAAATAACGGCGCCTGCCGAAAATAACGGCGCCTCCTAAACCCTAAACCCTAAACCCTAAACCCTAAACCCTAAACCCTAAACCCTAGGCAGGAGGCGAAGTAGGCTGTCGGGGCAGGATAGCAGGCGGAGTAGGCTGTCGGGGCAGGATGCTACGCCGGCCGTCAGGCAGGAGGCGGAGTAGGCTGTCCGGGGGGCAGGATAGCCGTCAGGCAGGAGGGCGGAGTAGGCTGTCGGGGCAGGACACCCCAGAGGACATCCCGGATGGGCCCGGTCAAAGAGGGGATGTGGGACTATTTTCTTCACCCCTCTCTGCTAGCCGTTTTGGACCCACCCATGCACCTTGATTTTACTACCGTACTGGGTATGAGGTATTGGGATGTTTATAACTATTTGTATGTTGTCAGAATATACTATACTTTTATACCACCTTCTCAATCTCCATCCAATTGATGGGTGGTCCTTCGATTGTGAAACGGAACGGTTGGTTTCGCACGGGTAGTATAGCCTTGAATATGACCGGTTGTTTTCGGCCTCGTTTTAATATGCTTAACCTACCCGAAGATTTTTGCTCAAAACCTTTTCGCCACTCTAAACTTTAATTGCCCGGACCCAACTGCTACTACTATATCACAAAACGGCTCTGTTTCCTCCGAGCGCTGCCTTTTTACTACACCCGAATTTGTAAAATGCTGATTGATTACTTTAACACCTACAACCCTAACTTGAGTGATTTAAAACAATTCTAATGCAAGTTTCGGTACTTCTTAAAACTATATACATAGCCTCGCGGAAGACAACTCGTGAATCGTTTTCAAATTTCGTATAGCACTGTCAACTAATTTTCAAAAATAGGCTGAATCATGATAACAATACTTTCATTTCGGGTCTTCGGAATGCATCGGAAACTTGCGTACAATATATTTGTTTGTTTTTGAGTTTCTACACATTCTGTTTTAAACTCGCAACGTCTCGGATACAGACCGATGTAATGGTAGCAAATGAGGATTTTAAAACTAATATGGTACAAAGTTTCATACAAATGATAAAATATCGGAATGGTACGCCTTCGGTGAGTTAGCCGCGTCTTATAATCTAAAACATTGCCCGTATCCATATGCTCCTCGCCAATCGGTAATTCGGACTTAGATTTCTGGTCAAGTTCAAGCTTTTCATTCAAATCAAAGTTGAATGTACAAAGAATATTTGAATCTATCATATAAGCTCTCAATTTTCGGAGTATGTTTTCCAAACTGAGCTTCCGAGAAACAGCGGGGGTAGGTACTGTATTTTAATATATCTAAAATGTATTGTAAGATTTGGTTTGAGCTCCTTATATTGTTACCTCCTTGCGAAGCATTTTTACATCCACCATGCCATCCTGCTTCACATGCTTCCCGTCATTCTCACGCCCTGCGCCATCTGGAACAGAGACCAAGAGTCATGAATCATCAGCCAAATCAAAGCCTTTCGATCATCAAAGCATCTCATTGTCTCCCAAGAGTGCAAAACAGCGGACAGCTCTCTCAAGATCGTCTTTCAGTTTCGGTACCTCGTCAGGAGGATCAAGAAAAAGTGCCAAAAGGCAATCCCTCCATGCTGATCTTTCAGCAAGAAGGAGTCTTTGGGATGAAATTGGCTTGGGAGTTGGGAATATTGACTATAAGAGCAGCTCGTCTTTGCTCTTGGAATCCAACGTGAAAGCCGCTGGCGAGGAGAGCTGGCTTAACGAGGATTGGGCTCAGCGAATCATCGAAGCAACCTCGTCATCAGGGACGGCCTCAGGATCAACCTCGCTGACTTCCTCTAGATCCTCTGATCGTGACATGACTTCGGGATCACCCTCCATCCAATCCCGTGGACTGTATGAGGATTTGGTACTAACCTCCGTCAATGATGACAAGTTGGTGCGGTGTGACTACGAGAGACCAAGTGCAAAGGAGGAACCATGCAGTCGCGTGATAGTCTAGTGAAATCAAAATTAACAGAATTCGTTCTTACCACTCAAGCGAATTCTTGTGTGCCATTTACATGTGAATATTTTTTACGTACAAATACACTGAGTAAACGTGAATTTGTTGATTTCTTGTGGTTTTGTACTGCTGTGCCTTTTAGGCACAATTATACCAAGGATCGTTCAGGAAAACTCCTGGACAACAGACAGACAGTGCCGAATGTAAACAGGGCAGTTGAAACAAGAAGCTTTTGCCATACTGGATACCCAGCGACCTGAGACACATGTGAAGGATGCAAATTCTGCATGTCATGGAAACCTTTGTATCTCTTATCTCGTGAGTCCTTAAAACTGGGCAACCTTATCAAAAACAATCAGACGCAAGACAGCACTTTAAACTCAACCCTACCAGTAATCGGCGAAGGAAGATTGTCGTGTCCCAGCTTGTACGATTCTTCATTCAAAGTAAAGAACTCTGGCGGATCTGAAGTCAGAACGTGCTGCGCATTCTTGAGTTCCCCTGAGACAAGGCTCAGCGTCCAGCAATCAAGCGAATCTGAAACCTTCATATAAAGCCTTTCGGATTAGATTGTAGTGGAAAGTATATGCTTTATCCTTCACTATGGGTAAACGAATTACCCAACTTCAAAACCTGAGTTAGATTTGATCTAAGAATACATTGAGAGAATATACCTGTACAATCTGATACAGATCATGAAAAAATATGTAAATGATTGCCATAATGTAGAGACTGGCAGCCCCAAAGAATCCGCCAACTTATCCCCTATGAATTTTCGACAGAGATGTTGCCTGCGAAGACGATGGTCAGTTAGAAACAAACAAGAAATAAAACCTGAAAGCTAGTCCTCGTCCATTTCTTGGAACCTGAAGAATTGTGTTAGCCACCATCAGCAATTAGAGACCGACCTGGAGCAGGTGAAAAGCAACTGCCCGACTATCCTCATCTGGTTCCAAGATGTGCATCACGATGGATTCTAAAGTTGCCTTTGCTCGATCTACTGAGGTGCAAGGATTATGCTTGTCATCAACTCCAATCAACCATCCGATGTAGCGCCATAGATGAATGTAACACTCCTGGTCCTCCCGGTTCAAAGGTTTTCCAAGCACAAGTTCTATTCCAATCAGCACGTTGTAGGAGAACGCAAGCAATGTCGCAGACATATCTTCTTGATTGATTGGCACTCCCCACTCCTTCTCATTCCAATATGGTCTCGATTTCAACCGTCTCCTAACCATCCCGTGCAGGAAGCGTACACGCAGAACAGACAGCCATCCCTTGTTGTTGGGAAGAAGCGAGTCAGGCATCAAACACTCGAAGATCATCTGAGAGGTATCGGCCAGTCGTCGAATCACTTGTTTCCTTCCACTTGTAAGATATCCTGTGGCCCTCAGCACTTTGGTAATCAAGGGAGCACTAAATCCTCCTACCAAACTGAGGTAGTAGAGCGAAATTCCGCAGGCTGGGAGGTCGCGAATAAAAACTTTCTGCCCTCTTCTCACTTGCTCCCAGTCAACCCATGCTGGCACTTCACTGTATGCGTGAATAAAGTTCTTCGCATTCAAATCAGAGCTTTCTTTAGCATCGTCAAGGATCTTGTCTAGCACGTCATCCTGTATGGTCCTCAGACGAAACGGGATAGACAGGAGGTGTGGAGTGTTTGCACCTTGGGTTGCGGGTTGAACGTTTCTAGCAGCATATCGCACATGACATCACCTTCTGATCGCAGGCATTGAAGCCTCGAGGGCATGACATGTAAGTCTGACCATGTGAACACCTGAAAGTCATACGATCATGTTGGCCAATCCAAATTTGGTTCACCTGTCCATATTTTTCAATGATGTCCCCTACCTTAACCTGCGGCTCCTTTTCACCAACATTCCACGTCTTCCTTGCTCGTTGTCGTGAGTCTATGTGGCGACTAGCAATATTTTCGTTGTCAAAACTAAAGAATCGGAGGAGCCAAGACATGGAGAACGCAAGCAGCTTTGCCTTTGCTTCTTTAGATGCCTTGCTCGACCATGGATTAGAGCTTCATGTCAACTAGGTTCTGCCACATCAAAACACGTTTGTTCTTCAGGTCTTCTCTTGGCAGAAACGATGAACCAGAGTGTAAGTAGAGCATTTGTGATGCCCTTTATGCGTAAGCGGCCTGGTCAAAATAATAAAAGAATAAATAAGCGGCTCCAAACCGTGAGCCTGCGCCTGACTGGATCAGTTAAGTTTGGGGGACAGCAGTCGGCAGGAATAGGTTTGGTTCTCGCTGTCTTTTCTCTTCTCGCCGTTCGGCCCAGCCAGTGTGCGACCTTCGGTCACGCCTCCTCGTCTCTCCTGATTGTCTTCGTTCTGATTTTTAACTTAACTTTGAGTGAAGACTGGACTCCAACTGCGTTTCAACGGCCCAGTCGGATCGGATGATTCGGAGACCGAGTCGGTGGGGCCGGGCGCCGATGCCGGATCAGACAGCCTGAGCAAAGAATGCTGGCACCCCCTGGGAGTACCGCGGTGACCGTGATGTAGCCTAGTACCGGCGGCGCCCGCCCGGCCCCCCGGGGCGGCCCGGCGCCGCAACGCCCGCGGCCGTGACGGTCACTGTGACATGCCCCCGCGGCACCGTTCAGTGAAGCACATCTGATGATGCGGATCGCACTGCATGCCACTGCGGCTGGCACGCGGCCGCGCCACGGGCCAGTCAGCCTGAGCCTCGGATATGTGAACGGTCCTGTAACTTGAAACTTGCCCAAGACGGCGACCGTCACACGAGTCACAACTGAGGCGAGCGAGCCTGAGGCGGCAATGTAGTACCGTGCGTTCACAGTGACGAAGCCTCGGAGGCCCTGAGGCCTTCCTAGCCGTCTTGCTAAGGTCCTCTCATGTCTGGATGCCAGGCTTGGCCCATCCTAGCACAAGCCTGATACTGAATCTATCTCTCATTTGCCTCCTCCGAACCCTTGTTTCGCAGCCGCGCCTGTGTGCATCGTAGCAAACTCGGTGCGAAGTTGAGCAAAAACTGTCTTGTTACAACTAAGGTCGACATGGTGTCTGCATTACTTTGGCATAGTACAAATTGGCATAGTACAAGTCTAACAAACTTGTACTCCGTCAAGCAACCGTTGAAGAGTCTTCAAGTAGTAGGAGCGGCCGCAGTCCAGGCGGCCCCTCCCGCCGGCCCGGCCCTGACTCCGAGTCAGCGGCTGTCAACCGTTGAGTATTGTTGGTACCGTACGGTACTTGCCCATATCGGAACTTGTTTCAGGGTTCAGCGCTGTGATGGCAGTGTGCTGCCGGGCGGCGACTCAGATCACTGAGTCACTAGTAGACTCGACTTGAAGATCCGGCGGTCTGATTCAAGAAGTGAGGGCCCCGACAGCAATGATAACTCCAAAACGAGCCAGTATTTGTGAACAATTGAAACTTCATCAGCTGACAGCACGGTGACCTGACAGCCGCGCGGGGCGCGGCCCCTTGGCCAGCCACTGGCAGCTCAAAGCGTTCAGTCTGACAACTTTTGAAGCATAAAGGCAAACAAGGCTGCAATTTCACACCAACCGTCGTGAATAATAATCAGAACTGTACGTTGTATGTGGTCCATGATGGTCATGATGGCGTGAAGCCGATGAGTCCTTCTGTACAAGCCTCAAGCTTCTCAGTTAAATCGAAGTCCGATCGGAGACCTGATGATGTGATTTTCAGAGTTAGCCTATGTTGAGCTGCTAGCCAAAGTTGACTGTTGGCTTGCGACGATGGCAGTCTTGGAAGACTGCAGCCTCTGATTCTGACTCAGCACAAATCACTGCCATCAGTTGGAGTGTCTGAGTCCATCCAGTTCAGTTGCCCTGTGGCGATGGGAAACCGGTGCAGATATCCTGACGGCTTCCTCGACAAGTCAGCACAGCTGCATCCTTGGGCCTACGCCCTGTAGCGGCGATGCCTGGCACTGAGAGACGGCAGCTTTTGACTCTCAGCTGATTCCATGATACCAAGGGGGCAGGCCTCTCCCAGCCTCTCTTTCAAGTCCTCCATGTTGTGACTTGACCTGCGACGCTTTCGAAATCTCGCTCGGAGGGTGACGACTTGCCTTCTCACGTTGCACTGTATCCAGAGTCAAGCCCAGCTCAGTGATTTTTTCCTTCACGATGTGTTCAAGTAAGATCTGATGAGCAAACGGCCGCTTGTTCTGTTGACATCCAATTATGAGAATCAGGTAGCATGTTGACTTCACCTGATCGTACGTCAGACATGAAGTGACCAGCGTCTCGAGCGCACTTCCAAGGCCCCTGCATGAGAAATGAGTCCGACAAGTACGCCGAGCGATGTAGACGCAACCACGGGAGGGAGAAAATAGATCGTTCAAGGTGGAGCTCCTTCACCGCCTTGATGTCCTGAATCTTGGTCACAAAGTTCTCAATGACTTGATCCCTTACAGTCTCAAGCTGCCCTGTGTTGACATAAAATGCTGGCTCAAGAGCCCCCATTTCATAGATTGTGCATCCCAGTGACCAAACATCGACACGTGAGTCGAAAGGTTTGTCCATACAAATCTGCAAAAAGAATAAAAAACTTAAGATGATCAAAACGATGTTGACTTCAGGCGCCATGCACATAATCGTTCCTCCCTTTGCATGTCTGATTCTTCCCTGAACTGTGTTTCCGATCCTAAGCGCGATGCCAAGATCTGCAATCTTAAAATTGTTGTTCTTGTCAACCTGCACTTATAAGATGAGCAGATGAATTAACGAGATCTTGTGAGACAACCAGAATGTTGGCAGGTTTGATGTCTCGATGTACGATGTTCAATGAGTGTAACACTTGTAAACCTGCTATCACCTGAGCAGGTAACGCGCTCAGAAGCAGGGGACAAAGTCAACGAAATTTACCTGTATGAAGCATTTCCAGACATCAGATTCATTGATACAATCATGTCGATTATGTGCTTGGCTGCATCAGATCATATCATTCCAATCCAAGATCATCTTAACATTGACCTGATCATATCAGCAACCGAACCATTTTCTGCGTACTCCATAACAATGAAAATTTCATCAACCCCAACAAAAGAAGCCTCAAATCTGCAGATAAAAAACAATAAGATAGCAAGCAAGCAGTCGAAGAGATGAACAAATAGAACCGTATGATGTGTTGGCTACTGATCCCCTCCATCATTCTCACCTATGACAACGTCATCACACTCACAGTCATTTCAGCTTGATTGGCAAGACCTCCTGTAAAACAGCTTCTCTTGCACGTCTGTGCATGATAGCTGCTCGGTCTGAGCTTGGCATCGACATCTTGCCCTTGACATAAAGAATCAATAAGTACACTGCATGCTATCTTCTCGACAAGCTGACTAACAGGGATCATTACAAATCATTGTACCTGCGCTTGCGAAAGCTTCACTTGCTTTGACACCCAAAATGTGTTGTCACTTTTCCTCCGCACAAGGTAGACTTCGCCGGACGATCCTTGTCCGATTTGTCGGATATTCTCATACTGCGATAGACTCTGACCAGCCTGCCCAGGATTGTCCACAGCTTGTTGCAGCTCTGTCGTAAACTTGTTCTGGACCATGAGAGCGCTATTATGAAGATGATTGGGGGCATCTGTACGCGTCTTAACTCCTCCCATCATCGCCTTTCGCTTGAGAACGCTGCCCTTCATAGTCCAACAATCAATGAGAACCTCTTTCGACCTCAGATTCTGCCACCTAAACACGCTTCTGTTGAAAGGTTCCCCAAAGCAGCTGTCATATGCTTGCGAAAGCCATACCTGAGGAGCCAAAGAAAACGTCAGTGGAATTGCAAAACACAGTTTTTACGTCGCAAGTGATTTTCTCTGATAATATCGTAGCTTAAACGCTGCTTGTTCGTTCAAACAAAAGAACCTGGTCATTTTCGAGATTCCTGTTAAGCTTACACTCTCGACTTGCATCAATGATCTACCAATCACATGCTAGTCTGGAATTCTATCTTAAAGTTAAAGCCTGCTATGGTTGCTATCGCCATTGCCTTCGCTGAATTCTTTACTCAACAATCAAGCTACTACGAGGTACGTTTGTACCATGGGGCCGTAGGGCGGGAGTGACGTGATGCCCCAGGACCGACCCATCAAATTCTAATGGTTTCTTTGCTGCCCTTGCCAACATGCCTGGGCGGGCTGACCTGCGGGGATGTCGTCCGGATCATAGAGATCACGGGGGTCTCAAAATGTAGGCACGTGTTCAACATCATTGTGTGGTGCTGACATGTGGTAAAATAAATTATCGTTGTGTTTTGCGACGTGATGCGCCAATCGATGACCTCTTACTACAGTCTTGAAGTCCGGTTTGCTGACATCGCTGACATTTTCCGAGATTACTACACTAAAACAACTCCAATTACTACAGATGACATTTACTACAGATGCTCTGCTCTGGCTTCTTAGCGTGCACGCCGAAATCTGGTTCGCACAGCAGCATGGCAGAAGACTTGCAGTCGTCGTGGTTGCATTATGCTTCAAGCTCGACTGTTGCACCTGTTATCGATGACATGCACGGGCTGAGATCGGAAAATTGCAATAATCAAAGCTGGGATCAGCATCACCACTCGAGCTCATTCGACGTCTGCGATGAGGATTGCGAGATATGCTGCAATCAGGGCGCGTCATTCTATGATTTAGCTCCCAGCCATCATGAAACACCAGACTTTTTCACTGCATCTGGGCACTTCAGCTCCAATATTGTCTCCGAATCAGACAACGTCAGCAACACTTCAGCTTCGTGGCCTCCGCAGCAATGCTCTACGGAGTCGTGGAGTCCAGAGCCCTTGCTCAGAAACGCATGGACAGAAGAAGAGCATAATCTTTTTCTGGCTGGCTTGGAGAAGTACGGTGATCTGCGAATGAATTCGAAGAGAAGGGGCAACAAGAGCGTGGGATTGGGAGAAGGGGTAGCGCAACTGATTTCTTTGCACGTCAGAACTCGCACAGCTTCGCAAGTCCGGTCTCATGCGCAGAAGTATTTCAGCCGACTCAACAAGACTCACCAAGACACTTCTGGCAAATAAATGCTTGTAAATTTCAATCTTATTCTTTCATCTCAAAAATCCTGATTGTCAAGTAAAGTGAGTCAAAATGCTCCGCTCACTTTGAATATCGAGGGGGCTTGGCTAATCAACCCATCATTGTGCTCTCGGTGCAGGACCTAAACCCTATGCTAGAGTCCCACTATCACGGATGCCATTGCCGACGGTCAGCCGCGACCGTACCACCCACAACGACACAGCTGAGTCCTTGGCATGACACGAGCCGCAAACACACTCCCACAAATAAACACTCACACAAACTCTCCCTCATCATCTGTGTCTCCCTCTGCCCCCCTCTGGCTCTCTCTGACTCACTCTACATCTCTCTCATTCACTCTCTTTTTCCCTCTCTGTCTCAACCCCTCCCCCCCTCTCTGTCTCTCACTCTTTCTCTCGCCCACGCTCTCTCTCCCCTACCCACTCTCTGTCTCCCCCCCTCCCTCCCTCCCTCCCTCCCTCCCTCCCTCCCTCCCTCCCTCCCTCCCTCCCTCCCTCCCTCCCTTCTCTT